AGGTATAGCTTGTGTTTTTGGAGCAATTCAAGCACTCGTTTCGTGATCCGCCGATGTTCGTTCAAGTTTTCTGTGAAGATCAGTATATCGTCCAGATAGACTACCACGTGACCCTCGTTGATCAACTCTCGGAGTATGTCGTTCATCATGTTTTGGAACGTTGCCGGGGAATTTGTGAGACCGAAGAACATGACCAAGGGCTCATACAGCCCTCGGTTCGTGCGGAATGCAGCCTTCCACTCATCACCCTCTTTGATCCGTACATTGTTATATCCCCACCGGATGTCAAGTTTTGTGAAGAACTTGGCGCCACATAGATTATGGACTAGTTCGGATATCAGCGGCAGCGGGTATCGATTCCGAATCGTCATCTCATTCAGCTTCCGATAGTCTTGGACGGGGCGTAGGGAGCCATCCTTCTTCTTGACAAAGAAGAATGCTGATGCCATCGGTGATTTTGATGGCCTGATCCGTCCACTGGCCAAGTTCTCTTGTAGGAATTCGTCGAGTTTGACTTGTTCATTGCGTGATAACGGGTACACCTTGCAGTCCACTGCCTTGGAACCAGGTTTGAGCTCAATTGCGTGATCCCATGCCCGTCGGTCTGGTAGCGAGTCGAACGATTCCTTGGCGAATACTTTGACAAATTCCCGATATTGATCCGGAATCTTCCCCTCGGTCATCCTCTCCTTCTCTTTTTCCGCTTCTTCTGCGAATTTCTGCGCCGGCGTTTCCTTCAGCCGCAGATCCACTTCCTTCCCAAAATCGACCAACAGGATCGATTCTCCCTCTTCCAGATCCGGCGTGCCCGTGTCCAGGTCGATTGCATCCATGTCAATCATTGCTTGATGTTCCTCGTGACCCCTCATGTGACACCGCTCTGGGCACCGGCTGAACCTCATGGTCTGCTCCTGCCAATCCACTTCGGGGTTGTGTTCCATCAGCCAATCGAGACCGATGAAGATCCGGGCTTTCCCCAAGCACGTCAGAAGGAACGTGCGTGCCTCCACATGAGGACCGATTCTCATCCTCAGATCGACGTAGTGCGTGATCCGACCGCTGATGTTCTCGGTGTTGTCGGCGTTACGAGCCACAATGGGTTGTGGGAGCTCTTGAATATCCAACTTCTCCGCCCGTGCGTAGTCGGTATCGATGCAACAGGTACTGCAGCCGCTATCGAGCAGCGCCTTGACCCCGCGCGTTTTTCCTGAGTCCAGACCCGTGATCTGGACATATACGTCCATCGAATGTCTCTTCCTTTCGGCCTGGTAGTCGCGCAATTCCTGCGCCAGTCTGCCGGGCTGCGGGCCCTTCTGTTTCTCGGCCGCCAATTTCCTCTGGACGGCATCTGGCACCCTGGTGCGTTTGGGTGCTTCTGGAACCTTGATTTCGGCAGATTCCTTAGGCGCTTCCTCCTTTTTCAAGGATTGAGCCTCCGGAGCGATGCTCCCCTTTTCGGTCTTTGTTGACGTGGTTCCTTCTCCACGAGCCATAAATATGTATGAATCCAAAATTAATTTATCTGCAGCTTTCTGATCCTTTTTACTTTGTAAATACTCCCTATTTAAAGCTATTTTTCTTTGGCGTTCTTTTTCCATATCAGCAATGAGAAAATCGTGAATATTCGTACGTAGTGAGTCCGAGATTGTATATGTATGTGTAGAATCGTTCATGTCTTTAATTGAAACAAGTACAGAAAAACGTCCATAGTCCGGACGCTCCACCTCCTTGGCTAGAGGAGTGGAGCGCTTCAAAAACCCTTCTCGCGCAGCTTCTCGGCAATCTCCTTGAGGAACTCGTTGTCCTTGTCCCCGTTCTCGATCTCTTCAAGCATCGTGGCCCGATTGAAGAATGTGCGCTTCTTTCTTGGTTCCGGGCAGTTCCGCGCAATGTGCCCGGGCTGCTGACAGTTGTAGCAGATGATATTGCGGCCGCGGGCGTGGGTACGATCGATTTCCATCGGAACCGGTTCGTTGGCAGCGGGTCGGGCCGGAGCGGGTGCGGGCGCCACTGGTGCCGCTTGGGGACGGAACTGGGGAGGTGGTCGTTGTGTGGGGTGCCCATACGACGCTTTGCGCAGCTGGTCACGCAGAGCATTGGCTTCGATGTTGATGCACCAGGCTTTGAACGCTCCATAGGCCTTGGGCAGAGGGACACCGGTGTTGTAGAGACGGCTGGCGATCTCGCTGCTGAGTCCGCGCTCCAGGAACTCGATGAGGATATTATCCTGGTCCCCCTTCTTGTATTCGCCTTTGTCGTCGGTGGTGTCGACCACATTGTAGCCTGCATCTGCGGCCAACATCTCAAAGTCGGAGATGTAGTCCGCGAAGGACCGTTTGTTTTGGCGCAGGGCCATAAGCCGAGCAGCGGCGACTTGTTCCGCATTGGAGTCCCCGAACGCCCTCTGAAACTCCTCCAGGAAGTTCTTTGATGTGACTCCTGCCTTCAGTCCCTGGAAGCCCTCGAAGTTGTGCTGCTTCCAGTTCATTGCCCATCTCGAGGCAGCGCAGCTCGTGCCGTTCTCGTTACGGAGGTAGGAGAGGACAAAGAGGATTTTGGTCTCATCTTGCGAGAACTCCGATCGATAGGCACCGATGTAAGTGGTGCACGCGTCCACAAAGCCCAGGTATTTGGACTTGTCGCCATCGAAGTAGGGGGGATTGGCGGCGAGGGTGATGCGGTGATGCCCTGACATGGTAGGGGCAGACGTGTGAGGTGGGGGCGAGGGTGGTTGTTCGGAGGGCAGTTCGTCGAGGTCGGGGATCTCGTCTTCAGGCGGTGGGAGGGCGAGGTAGGGGTTGGAGGGGCCGGGTTGGTTTTGATGCGCCAGATCGGGCGACGATGGTACGATGGGGGGAGGGGACGGACTCCCAGACGACGATGGGAATCGGTACGAAATGGTGGATTCGTGTGCTGTACAAGCACTCGAGGAAAGGTTCTTTTGCTAGCAAAAAGATCCCGGGCCTAGCTCTTCACGTGCCCGATGATCCCGAGGTGCGTTTTCCCGAAGGTCTCCGCAGCACTCCTTGTAGCTACCGTAAGGCTTGGGTCGGGCTCAACGTTACCCGTGGCCTGGTGCTGTTTGCTTGATATGAACCCTTCACTGCGATAGTGGAGGACGACTAGATGATTCGGTAAAAGGGTGAGTGGGGTGATAAGGTTTTAAGAGGATATAGCGGGCGTAGCGGTGCGGGATGCAGGGTAAGAGGTATGAGGTAGGAGGGTATGAGGGGAGTCTTCGAATTATGTGACAATCAACCCAAAAACAAAGTCGAAAAGAGAAGTGAATTCGAAGACTGGAGAATACAACCAAGTAGCTACAGTATTTATACCCAAATCCAGTCTGAGTCATATCTACAACTAATGAGTCATAAGGCTATGTACCGCATGGAGCACTGGTCATGGGTTGTAGTAGAACCTTCCGGAGCATATGTCGCGCAGCCTCGAATCGATAGAGATAACCCCTGGAACCCCTAGCCCGGACCGTCTGATGCCGTGATCCGTCAGTCGTGCCAAGATAAGATAAGATCGCCGATGATAAGATGAAAAAGAGTCGAATTATGACACATTTTCAATGGTGCAACGGATAGAGGGCTAATTGCATTTAGCGATTCAGACTGGGCTGCTGATCCGATCAAGAGGAGGTCTACCACTGGTTTCTTTACGAAATTGGCAGACGGGATTATTTGCTGGCAGTCTAGGCTTCAGCGCACTGTCGCGCAGTCTTCGACCGAAGCAGAATACATGGCGATTTCAGATTGTAGTCGCCAGGTGATGTGGCTGAAGAGTGTCCTTTCGGAACTCCAGTTCAAACTCACCATCCCAGTACCCATTTGCGGTGACAATCAGGGTGCACTCTTCAGTGGCAGCAATGCCTACCGAGACCGCAGGATGAAACACATAGACATCCGCTATCACTACATTCGTGAGCAAGTCGAGGAAGAAGAGGTTGAACTGTTCTTTATTCCGGGCAGTGAGAATCCTGCAGATATGTTCACCAAGAACCTAGGACGCGTCAAGTTCGAGAAGTTCAGATCTCAACTAGGACTTGAGTTCAACTCGTCCTGAAGGAATGGCCGATGAAGATTCGCTTTCAAACACTATCCCGTGGTTTTCAGCGTGGGGGAGTGTTGATCAAATATCATCTGTCAAGATGGATGTCGTGATACATATCTATGACTCCATCACGTGTCATCTAGAGTCATATCGACTCGTCCCAAATAGACACAAATGGCCCCCTGTATCATATATAAGGAGGGCTCTATTACCCTTTAATATAAGTCTCTTGACTACTCCCGCATAGTGCCCACACTAAGCTCTCAACTCACACAGGTGGGTTGCTAGACGCTCTCCCCAGTGCTCAACACGTACCTCCTTGAGAAGTACGTCCTGCCCCCCCCTTTTTAAAACCCTGCCCCAACAGCTAAGGTCCACAGAACCCTACCTTTCATGGCAATTTATCGCTCCACGTCCACCACCTCCACTGTCGGCCCTGAGACTCGAGCTCGTTCGCGGCAATCAGTCAAAGACTCGATGCATGCCCCAACGAAAGGTGTAACGGCTCAGAACACCGCGACCACTGTGCAGGCCCCCGCGACCACTGTACAGGCCCCCGCGACCCCCGACGCACCCGCCGCCACGGCCAAGGACCCAAACTCCGCTGAGACCCCCACTCTTCCCACGGCAAATGCGCCACCCAGCATGGGACTCTTGGCCGCCTGCCCCCCGAGCTGCACGCCCCCTGCTGGAACTCCCGAGGTGAATCCCAACACATCAGACAACGAGGCAAGTCCCTACACTTACCTCGAAACATGAGCTGACCATGACCAGGCCGATACTATCCGCTCCCACCTCCTGGACCAACCTAAAGATGCTGGCACCTGTGCCCCTGGTCGCGAAGAGAGTTTTCCGCCACTGCCACCACCAGGTGTTGACCCGATGAAGGACAACAATGGAAGCTGGACCCCGGTCCAGCATGCGAGGAAAAATAAGGGGAAGGCTAAGGCGAAGCCCAGAAGTACGTCCCTACAATCCAACGCGCCACTCCATACTAACCGCGCTGTCAAGCCCCCACTCCCCCTCCTCCTCCTCCTCCTCCCCCTGCGCTGGAGGCCTCCGATGAAAGCAGCTCCTCGGAAGAAGACGAAAGCGATTACGATCGTGCCTTCCAGGCCAACATGGCAAAGGCGAAATCCCGCTCCCTTGGCCAGCAGAGGAATGGATCCCCCTCCCGATTGCACCGCACTAGCCAGAACGCTGTAAACCCCCCGTCCCCAACAAAGCGTCAGCGTGCAAACACGGCTGGAAGCTCCCGCCCCCGGGCCCACTCTCCCCCACGCCCCAGGGCCACTGCTGCTGCGCGCACACCATCCCCTTCCCCGGTCCCCCACAACAACTCGCCTCCACCCTGTTGGGGAAAATGGGTCGAGGGGTCGATTAGATAATTGTAGTGTAGGTTTGCAATAGCAATGAGGAATAAACTTGGATTGCTTTAGGGCAAACTGATGCCCGTACACTACATACAAGCTTAGTTATATAGTAGTAATACTAGTAATCTAGAATATTCTTCTATTTACCGGTATATGACTAAAGACAATTATCTAATGATCTGGAACGTTCCGGGACAGCCGAGCTGCATCCCGGGAATACTACTGAAACTCAACACTCTCCCTCAGCGTGGCTGGACCGGTGCACAACAGAAAAACAAAAGAAAAAACTCGAGAAATATTTGTGGCCCTGATTTGCCCCATGCTTGACAGTGCCCAGTGTGGAGCGGCATTTTGCCCTTCACACCCTACTGCCGCGACATGCTAAATCACTTCACATCACATCATGTCAATCAAAGAAGTTGTCGGAAAATTTTGGGGATGCCTCAGAAGGCATATTCATCGTCGTCGTCCACAGGATCAGGTTCTGTGAAGAAATGAGCACAACTTTGATTGTTCTCTCCCTCTTTGTCATCACTGTCGCGTGTTGGGCAGACGCGTGCAAAATGACCTCTGCCGCCGCATTTATGGCAGGTAGCGGAGTTAGCCGGGCGCGTGTGGGAATTGGAAGGGGTGATGGCATGGTTCTTCGGGACGAAGCGGTTGATGTGACGGGTGGCAGTGCGTACAGTAAGCGCAATTTCACCAGCATCAGCAGGATGATTGTTTCGGCGGGCTTCCTCTGTGAGAATTGAGGAGATGGTGGTTTTGGAGGTTGGGGCAGTGGGGGAAGCAAGTGCAGCACGAATAAATGAGTCCCATTGACTACTAAGGGAGCTGAGAAGTGTGACAGCAAAGTCAGCATCATCAACCGTGTGACCAAGCGATGTCAGCTCTCCCTGGATCTGTCGCATCAATTTGATGTGCGGCTCAAGCGGTTCTTCGGGGTTGGCACGGGTACTGTAAAACTTGTGTCGTGCAAGGACTAGGCCCATCTGGCCTTTTAGCTCAAATAGGTGTGACAGCATTTGCCAGGCACCTAGAGCAGTGGTCTCTCCCTGGACGTGCTGAACGACAGCTGGGGCAACACGGAGTCTGATCGATGACAGGGCTCGGCGATCATTTTTGATCCAGGCCTTCTTCTTCGATGCTTCGGAATTATCTGGGGGCGTAACGGAATCATCGACATGATCATCAAGATTCTGTTCTGTTAGAATGTCCATCATTTGGACTTTCCACGCTCCATAGTTTGATGAACTGGCAAGCGGCCCGATCCGAAATGCGTTGGCCGTGATGGTATCTGCCATGTGGGGATAGTCGGGTTATCGGTGACGTGAACCGAGATCAGTTTGTGTTGGGGAAAATGGGTCGAGGGGTCGATTAGATAATTGTAGTGTAGGTTTGCAATAGCAATGAGGAATAAACTTGGATTGCTTTAGGGCAAACTGATGCCCGTACACTACATACAAGCTTAGTTATATAGTAGTAATACTAGTAATCTAGAATATTCTTCTATTTACCGGTATATGACTAAAGACAATTATCTAATGATCTGGAACGTTCCGGGACAGCCGAGCTGCATCCCGGGAATACTACTGAAATTCAACACACCCTTCTTCGGAACAGTCGATGGCCGCCCTCCACGTGGGAACTTCATTTGATTCCCAGATGCTGGAGTCTGTGGAGGAAGCGACTCCCTCACGGTGTATGCCCATATGGACCCAAAACGCCTCGACCAATGGGATGCCGTCCAGCAACACAAGTTCATTGTCACCGTCTCGGGTGGCAACAGCGATCGCAGACGCACCACCACCCTCATCCGTAACCTCATCGCAGAGGCCACAAACGCCCGCGGCCACCATATCATGATCTCGGAACCCTCGGTTGCCCAGAGTGGCCCTGACCCCACCTGCTGGCTTGTAGCGGGACTTCCGGTTGAAGTCGGCGAGCACCTGGTGGAGGGGCGAATCATCTCCTCCCCTGCCATCACCCTCCTGATCCACGCGTATGCGCCGCCCATCTCCGGCTACATTGGAGCCTTCACTGGGTTCAATGTTGAGTGCACGCAGGAAGGAGCTGAGACTATTCGGAGGATCATTGGCGACACCATTCTCAAATCCCCGTATGCTCCCTATCAAATCAACTGGCGAATCTAACAGTACCCCCAGGTCCACTGTCCAGCTAATCCTTGACAACCGCGACGCCTTTAGCGAGCTCGACACAAACTCTGAGGTGCTGGAGCGCTTCACCGCTACCCTCCATGTGCAGCCAATGGAGATCCGGACCGCGGGCAACCAAGATATCCTGCTCTGGAACCTCTTCGCAAACCCCCCAACCTGCTACATCGAAAGCTGGCGGAAGATTGCAAAAGACGTCCGGCGGCTGGTCTTTGGGAGCATCTGGGATGGCCAGGCCTACCTGTACACCACGGGCGGTGAGCACCGCCCCAACCCATTCCCTTTCTACTGCCAAATCTGCACTGCTATTGACCATCCTACTGGACTCTGCTGGCTCCCGAACACCTCACAATGGCCGGGCCCCACCTCCGACACCATTCGCGACCTGACAAAGGTCTCTCGCCACTTCTCCGAACAAGCTTGAGCCTCTGCACCAGTTAACGAGAAGAAGAAGAAGGAGCAGGATGGGAAGAAGGGCAAGAGCCAGGACCGGAAGGGCAAGGGGAAGCGCCGCCATGATGGCTATGACCACTACTAGTCTAACTCTGTAACATGCTACAAGTACTGGTGAACGTTCAACACGTCCACTATAGACAGGTACTACAAGTCTACTCTACCCCAACAATCTTGTTATGTCTTTCCTGCACTATCCCCGAGGAACTTGAGACATGCCTGCATAAATTAATATTATGTTCGGGCAAGGCGCGAACTGATTGACTCACTGGTATGAGCAACAGGTGTAGACCCAGCAGGAACCTGCTGTACTACTAGAACTGCGCCGGGCCCATCGCTCCCCTAAGCCCAAATATACCGACTCTGTCTACCAGAGGACGGGAAAGCTACAAGAGGATTTCTTACAACGGTGACACACCAAGTCGGGACCACCCGTGCTGAGAAGCTCAAACTTCTTGCTACGCCTAGTGACACTACCAGTGTGGTACTAAGAGTAACAACAAGTAGGTTCCCCGTGGCAGCCGGACAGCATGCCCGTGGCTTGGGAATTTGGTCGAAACCCAGGCTGACGACTACCGACTGCAAATAGATCCAGCAACTTACTAAATGGTGAAAATAACGGTATAACGGATGCAAACCTCTCCAATTCCAGAGGGAGAGCAGCACCAACCACCGGCTGCGATCCCAATGATGGATATGGAGATTCTGGAGGTGGAAGCACTGCAGAGTATGCACCCACAGGTGCAAACACCTGCAGTAGCGGAGACTCAGGACCCCGAGTCCGTCAGCAGGATGGGGCTTGTGGCAGACTTGGGACTGAGCCACCAAGGCAGAGACGCCAGAGTGCAACACTAGCACCCAACGCAAGGAACCGGAACTGCCGGATCCAAGCAAATGACACAATACCAGGTAATGAGGACCACGCACCCTCCTTCCTGAACGCTAAGCGTAACAGACAACAAGTTGGCAATGAACAAATATCAAGAAATACAAGAGCTGAACTCAAGATTGGCTCCCTCAACATAAACGGGCAGAGAAAACCCTCAATAACCCACCCTGAGCACAAATGGCATGCATTGAACAGACTGTTCCTTGAAGAGAAAATTGGTGCCATGGTGGTATGCGAAACACACCTCTCCCCAGAGCAGACAAACAAAATCCAAACCAGCCATATAGGACGCCGACTACAGGTATTCAACTCCCCCAACCCAGAAGATCCAAACACAAGGGGAATTGCACTAGTGCTAAATAGAGAGCTAACAAATATAAAAGATGTGACCATTCACTACCTGATACCCGGCCGAGCACTTCTGGCCCAACTACACTGGCACGGAGCTCAAACCTGCACTATACTAGGCACATATGCCCCTGCAGAATCAATGAAAGAGAATGAGGAATTCTGGGAAGAGCTCTCAGACATGTGGCTCAGACAAGACCTACCAGTACCTGACCTTGTTGGAGGGGACATGAACATGGTAGAAGAGCCCCTGGATAGACTCCCACACCATCCAGACAGACCAAAAACAGTTGGTGCAATGCTACGCTTCAAGAGGCTCCTCGGCCTTATGGATGGCTGGAGGAAAGTCAACCCCAACACAATAGATTACACCTACATAAGCGGTAGGAAAACACACTCAAGGATAGACCGTATATATGTCTCAAATAGACAATTCCAGCAGTGCAAACACTGGGAAATTAGTGATGCTGCTGGGAAGCTGACTGACCACAGACTGGTTACTGTCACCATCACAGCACCACTCTCCCCACATGTAGGACGTGGCAACTACTCAATTCCACTCTTTATTCTCCAGGACACTAACTTCATGTCCTTTGTGCATGAGGCCGGGAGCAAACTAGATGAAATGATCGAACTAAGCAAAGAACCTGAAAATCAGATAGGAAATATCCAAACCCATTATCACAGCTTCAAACAAGAAATCCTTCAGTATGCAAGAAAACGGGCAAAGATAGTCATTGGAGCCTCTCGGGAGAAGAAAAAGAACCTGTCTGCAAGGAAGAGAACAATGCTCCAGACCAAAAAAGTTCCTGCCCAAGGTACCCCCCAGGAAACCAGGTAGGGACCACACCACATGAGAACCTGATAGATGAAGACCAGGAGCCCCCTCAATCTGTAAATAATGTAGATAATATCCCCAATGGCAACCTAACCCTCACAGAGGAAGAGCTGGCAGAACACATCTATGCACTGCAGCATGAGATAGATGAGATTACAGAACAGCAGAGGGATAAACAGCGAGTGAACACTCAAGTGAAATGCTTTACAGAACTAGATCACATCACCAAATTCACTGTGTCAATGAGCAAAGATAGTAAGCCTCGCGATACTATAACCTTCCTTCAACAAACAGATACAGACCAGCCAATAGGATCAAAACGCTCATCTGAAATGGCAGAGATCGCTAGAGACTACCATCAAGCACTTCAATATGACCCCTCCGAGGAGGACCTCACCAGTAAGCAAGAAAGCATTCTAGCTGCTCTAGAACACATACACCCAGTGGAAATCTCTTCTGAGGTAGAAGCACTAAGCAAACTTCTAAGTGAAGATGACATAGCAGAAGCCCTGAAACAGGCAAAGGTTGGCACAGCCGCAGGAGTAGATGGCATCCCCTATGAGCTCTGGCAACAACTCCATAAAACCTACCTTGACACAACTGAGTATAACTCAAAAAAACCTCTTGAAGAGCAGAAACCTACTCTGAACATAATCAAAATACTTGCATCAATCTTCAATGACATTGAGAAACATGGGGTAACAGCCAACTCAGACTTTGCTCTTGGATGGATGTGCCCAATATGGAAGAAGAAGGATAAATCTGACATTGCCAACTACCGTCCTATAACAGTCCTTAACACAGACTACAAGCTTCTGACAAAAACACTATCAAATAAATTGGCAAAGATTGCACCTCACCTCGTTAATACAGACCAAGCTGGCTTCATGAAAGGTAGAAAGATTCAGGACCAGATCTTTCTGGCCCAGCAAGTAGTAGGCTACTCAAGCGAACAGCTGCATAATGGTGCTATTGTGGCACTTGACCAAGAAAAAGCCTATGATAAGACCAATCACACCTACCTTTGGCAAACCCTGCGCAAACAGGGGATACCCAACCTGTTCATAGACACTGTGAAAGCACTTTATGCAGATGCCCAGACTTGTGTCATAATAAATGGTGAAAAAAGTACTCCATACAAAGTAACACGAGGCGTTTGGCAAGGGGACCCACTCTCCTGTCTGCTTTTTAACCTAGCCATTGAGCCACTAGCCTCTATGGTCCGCAGCTCAAACCTTCAAGGAATGCAGATACCTGGGACCTCCCGCCGTATCATTATCAAAATGTTTGCAGATGATACCACAGTATATTTAAATGCCAACGATCGACTAAGTGACCTCACCGCAATACTGAACAAGTGGTGTGCAGCATCAAGCGCAAAGTTCAACACTGAAAAGACAGAAATTATACCTGTTGGTAACCCCACCTTCCGAGCCCATGTAGCCAACACAAAAACCTTTCATGATGAACATGATGTAATTGCAGAAGCAAAAATTGCAAGAGATGGAACTGCAGTCCGAATATTAGGAGGATATGTAGGAAACGGCATTGACTGTTTCACACTATGGTCTCCAAAGCTAGAAAGGATTGACAATGAATATGAAAAGTGGGAGAATCTCCATCCAACATTAGAAGCACGCCGACACATAGACCAGATTGTTGCCGGGTCCATAACTCAATATCTGACTATGGTAAATGGAATGCCCAAACATGTCCTCAAGCACCTACAACGCTCCCAGAGAGAGTTTATGTGGGGAGGAGCCAAATCCTCACCAGTACAAAAAGCTGTTCTACTTCAACCTATTCTAGATGGTGGAAAAAATCTTCTAGACATTGAAGCTAGGAATGATGCACTGACAATTCTGAAGCTGGCATCATACCTAAACTTGGACCCTACCAGTCGCCCTGACTGGGCCTACTTTGCAGACTCCCGCTTTGCTGCAGCTGACAGGAAGAGCTCCAGACTAAATCCTGGCTCCCACACACAGATGTTCCTTCAGACCTGGCGCCCAAACAAACTGAAACTCCCTACTGACCTTCGAGAGATGGTAAGAGTAGCAGAGAGATACAATCTTGGTTTTGAAGTAGTCTCCCCTCCAAGTGAACTGCTTGAAGAACTCCCACTCTTCCACCACCTAGGTGAGGACCCAGCGCAGCGTCAAATAAATAATTCAACTGCCTGCAAATGCCTAAGAAACAATCACCTTGCCCTGAATGTGGGTGATGGAGCACTAATAGCTGCTCGCCTTGAGAACCCCAACCACCAGCCATCTGCCAAATGTGTATGCACTGCATGTGTGTCAGACAGAAATATCCTGAACTGTACTAATCCAGATGCCTGTGCACAGTGTGCAGGCCAGAGAATAAATCTGATACACCCAAGATGGGACCCCCGTCTTGCAAATACCAAACAAACCCCTGAACTAAGACCCTTGGAAGAAGGGCAGATATTGCTCCCTCCCGTTGCTGCATCACTTACAGAGGGATTTCGAATCTTTCGCACAGATAATACTACCCCTATCACTATACCCCTACGTGCAAGGCCCACAACCCCAATCCAGGCATACATTGTAACTGGTCGAAATGCTGACCGATCTGGATCTTGTTACTCCTTGTGGTTTGCTGAGGGTGACCAACGAAATGAAAACTTTGAAATTCCCAGAACTGTGGGGACAACTAAACAGGCTGCTGAGATTGTAGCCTGTCTTGCATGTATCCGACGTGCCTCACCAAAAGCAGATATAACCCTGTATCTTGAGAAAAAGTCATTGCCACAGATAATCAATAAAAAACTCAAAGAGTGGGAAGACATGGGATGGCATGGTGTCCCAGATGGCCACATTCTCTGCCCACTTCTAGCTGAACTTAGAGGACGAGAAGGGAAAACCAAAATCTTAACCCCTGAAGCAAACTCCTTAGAAGCCCTCACCCTCCAAAATCTCAGCATTAGAGCTGCTGGGGCAAGCCACCCACATCCTCACCCCAACCAAACCACTGCCACAACAAGACCAGACCTGATCACAAATGGGGCAAAGCTAGCAGCCTTGACACAGAAAAGAGCTTACACTATCATCAAATCTATGCACAAGAAAATAGTCCGCCCAGCAACCCAGCAATGTCTCAACCAAATTGTAGCTGAGATTCAGAGGCTAACTGGAAAATCTCCCACAACCCCTGAGATATGGCGGTCAATTAGACTCCCCAACCTATCGCGACAGGTGAAAAACTTCCTCTGGAAGTCAATACACAATGCACACAGAATTGGTGCGTTCTGGAAACATATTCCTGATTGTGAAGACCGGGCAACTTGTCAAACATGCAGCACTGAAGAAACACTGGAGCACATACTTTGTGACTGCACCTGCGTGGGTCAAGATGAAGTCTGGAAGCTAGCAGGCAACCTCTGGGAAACCACGGGAAAGCCATGGTTCAAGCCCTCTCTAGGGGCCATTCTTGGGGTGGGCCTACTGAAAGTAAAATCAGTTAACAAACCTGACCCAGGGCTAACAAGACTGCTACACATCATTATCTCTGAGTCAATGTTCCTGATCTGGAAGCTCCGAAACCAGCGTGTGATATCCAACAATGGCCAACCCCATACCCCCAAAGAGATTGAACAAAGGTGGAACCACCTTATTGAGTCTAGATTCAAACTAGAGTGTGCCATGACAAACAAACTACGTTTTGGTAAACGTGCACTGGCACTGAGAACCCTTGAAGCAACATGGAGGCCTGTCCTTACCTCCTCTGATGATATCCCGGAGCACTGGGTGAACTGCCCCAGGGTTTTAGTGGGTCGCGCATACCTGGCAATACTGCCACCTCCCCCTGAGCCACCACCAGGTTAGGTCGGGGGAGGAGTTTTCGCATCCCCACACTACTGTGACCACTTTGTGTAGCTGTACATTTCCCTGGGCGGTGGGTTCACACTGCAAAATCTTCTGTTTCTTGCTCCCCTATCTGGAGGGAATCTCCCCCAAAACCTTACTCAGTATGCTAGAGGTTAACCAATTGTTATATTGTCTAGTGTATAGTACCACCAAAAAAAAAAAAAAAAAAGGAACAGTTTGCCCCGATCACAGTCGATGTCGGAAGCGTCGGCGTTTGGATGCCGGCGGCACAGCAACCACGTGTTAGCAAAAAAAAAAAGTGCTGTGATCTGTTCCTCGAGCTCAGAGGCCACTAACACTTGTTCCATTTGTCACAATAACTCCTTAGAATGGCACTAAAAAAATTACATCATTTTCCGTCTGGGAGGAGGCCCATCACAAGTGCCTTATGTTATCTAGCGGAGTTTGAAGCTACCTCGCGGATCAGAAGCACCAAATTAGAGGACATGGTCTCCAATACAATTGCCCTGCCAAATCTCTGATTTCAGCCGTTTTTTCGCATATCAGTCCGTTAGAACTATGGAGGCCTGGAAGGCCCTGCTCACAACCGAGACATTTGACATTGATAGGCGATGCACGTGGCCAGGACCCCATGAACTCACTACGTACTCTTCTTTACGCATGTTTTCAACATTCTAACACTATCTTATTGCATTCATAAAATGACTTGTTGAGGCACAAATTCAACGAGTATGAGATTACGACATAACTGTAGATGATGGGGTTCAGTAAGGACACGACAAAAAACAGTATGTATGTAGAATCTCGTGATCCGGGATCAGAGATGGGACATCAGATCAATTGTGGCTGCTTTGTCAGACCAAGCAGCTTGGTACGTCATACTGATGGGACATCAGTTCAATTGATTGCGGGGCCAGGGTGTATCTGCGCTTGTCACTACAAATGAAACTAAATGTAAATGGATGAAAATGCGCAATTGAGAGCCAGGATCCATCAACATTTAAACAAGTGACTTCAATCCAAAGAAACAGCAATATCCGGAGCATTTGTGCTTCTCAGGGAATGCTGTGAACAGTGCACCAACGTTTCCGCCACCAAACATGCTCTTCTTGGAGATATCACTGAGAAGCCATTCAAACAAGATCAGACAAACTTATAATAAAAAATATTGACTCATGGAGAAGTCATTATCTGCGGGTCACTCAAAAGTAACTTGGACCCTGAGCACAATGTGAGATTGGATACCCTCAAAAGAGACCAGGGATTGACGCACCTTGATAATCAGAGATGAATACCAATCCACCCGATTTCTCATACTGCACGTGTTGCGTAAAGCATAAGATGTCAGCCATATAAAACAAGGGATGATCCGCAGCCAAATATGGAACGGGAGCACGGTTGTGAACAAATTTGACAAACGGACTCTCGATGAGTTCCTCAATGACCAGTGTTTGGCCATGGGATGAGGCGGCATGAATATTCTTGCCCACAGTGGAGTCATGGACCAGGGCAATGCCACCCTCCACAAAACAAATCTTGGGAATAATGAGAGACGATGGTAGAGGCCTGGTTTTCTTCAAAATGTAATCAACAAAGGAGAGGGAGAGATCAAAGAGAGACATAGCCCAAAGGAGGAGGTTGCCCTTGCAAATGGTGTGCCGATGCTCAGTTGCAACATCAAATCGCCTTGCGCTTCCCTGGTCATCTCTGCCCTGAATCATCTGTTTCACAGCAACATCTTGGTTGTTGCGACTGCCAAGTCCATCCAGTGAGGAGGGAGTGAGTGTCATGAAGCCATGATGCGCATCCTTGAAAGATCCAGAGCCAAGGGATGATGATAGAAGGACCATCAAGGTACCATCCTCGCACAATACCGGATCATATTCAAATTGAACTGGACGGGAGCCGTCAAACAACTCGGTCATGGGGTGTGGGATAACACGCAAGAACTGGATGCGGTCAGATGTGGGAAGATCTACGAGAAACAAATTCGGTCAGTAGAATTGAACAACGAAGAATTTTGTGCTCACCCAATGGGCCCGCTCATAATACTCCTCCTCCAACGCTCAAGGCCTTCTGAAGCCTTGCCTGGTCGGCTTGATCGGGGGACCAATATGGGCGTTTCATTCCCGTATAGAACGTCTCTGGAGTCCAGGGACAATTGCTGGGATGATTGGAAGCAGAATTTGACCAATCTGCTGAGCCCAGCGCTCCAACCTTTGATGGAGATCCACTAGTGCAGGATTCGAGGACAGAAATGGAACATGATTTCTCCAAATCCTCGCAAGATTTTGCCGAAACTGAAGCCTCTTTCTGAGACTACATTCAAAGTGATCAGTGTAGATTGAATAATTTAATATATCTGAACGTGATAACAGATGATGGGCATCAAGCTCGTTTGCAGCAGCTTGTCAATGATGTAGAACCCAACGTTCTGGGGGCAGCTGGTGACAATGACATTGACAATGAGGTTGTTCAAGCTTGGTTCTCAGATGAAGAAGGACCTGAGGATCTGGCAGCAGCAGATGAGTGGTAAAATACTAGCTGTGATATTCTCCGGATATTGCTGTTTCTTTGGATTGAAGTCACTTGTTTAAATGTTGATGGATCCTGGCTCTCAATTGCGCATTTTCATCCATTTACATTTAGTTTCATTTGTAGTGACAAGCGCAGATACACCCTGGCCCCGCAATCAATTGAACTGATGTCCCATCAGTATGACGTACCAAGCTGCTTGGTCTGACAAAGCAGCCACAATTGATCTGATGTCCCATCTCTGATCCCGGATCACGAGATTCTACATACATACTGTTTTTTGTCGTGTCCTTACTGAACCCCGTCATCTACAGTTATGTCGTAATCTCATACTCGTTGAATTTGTGCCTCAACAAGTCATTTTATGAATGCAATAAGATAGTGTTAGAATGTTGAAAACATGCGTAAAGAAGAGTACGTAGTGAGTTCATGGGGTCCTGGCCACGTGCATCGCCTATCAATGTCAAATGTCTCGGTTGTGAGCAGGGCCTTCCAGGCCTCCATAAGAACTGATCATAAATGAAATATCTTTGAGACATCGACAGCAGATTGGCCCGGTCGTACCTCCGCTTGCGCCTCCTCCGAGGCCAGGAGCTATATACTGAGTGCATATTTCAAAACAAGGGCAGGGGATTTCCCCTGAAAGCGGCGCAAGCCGAAGGGCTCGAGCGCGCCGCCATCAACGACGAGCACGCTTATGACGTCGGTAACGGTCATCAGAGGCTTCGAATAAGCATATACACGTCCTCGAGTCACGGAGTCCCAGGACCCCAGCACACCCGATCGATCTATCAGTCGAAACAGACCATGTCCTTTGTCGTCGACCTTAATCAGACTTTGATTTCGAGGGTTAAGCATCCTGCCCATCATATAAAATCTCGGCCAGTTCTCTTATCTATCATTCCCCTTTGTCTTTCTTTCCAGTCTTGAGATCATGTCCGAGGACTGCTTTCTGATTTTCTGCATCTGCTTTGATTTATTGTCCTGTTGCAGCCCTTTCTGTGAGGATAGCTGTCCGTGGATCATGGGCTCGTGTGTGTCAAAGCAGCACGGTGGTGAGTGAACTCCGGGGCCATTTGCGGGATACTGACCAGATGGGATGATACTAGGTGGATGCATGTACTCAGCTCCCGCGATATTTCTTGACACTAATCAATTGCAGCAGGCCGTGGCTCTCGACAAAAAGCGATACCACAGCAGCAGCAGCCTCTTCCCATGAATTTGATGACGTCCCGGCGCACCTCGAGTGAGGCTCAAGAAAGTCAGCCTCTGACGAAAGCAGACAGGGACGCATCTTGTGTCATGTAGACATGTGAACATGTATTCGAAATAACCTGGATGTCAAATGCGAACAAACGAAGCATGTCTAGCGTTTCATGATCTATCTTGAACTGCCCCAGCACTTCAATCTGGCACATGAAGGATTAATCTGTGATTAAAGATCATCACAATTGTTCAACATTCGAGCAAAGGAGAAACAGATTGCAGATATAGCAAATTGGATCCGTCTCACGCAATCATAGCACACTGCCTTTCTCAGCCAGACAAGAATCAATTCTTATCTGTGTTTGATATATCCCCAGTTCAGTGCAAGTCCTCTATTTCAACGTCATTTGGGCTTCCGGAACAGTTGTTTCCCTTTCCAAAGCCGGATCAAATGGTGACAATGGCCCGATCAGTTCAAATCTGGTACCCCTTCCTCTATGCCCAATTATCTACATTCAGACGCGGACAGGATGCGAATAGCCGTGGTATGCAACGAGAAAATACCAAAGCCTATCGTGACTGAAGTGTCCTCCCCAGGCCCTGGTCGCGCTGAAATTCAAACCCCCCGACCAATCGTGTGCCTGTGCGTTTTTCGGAGACTCGGTCACATGTCCTCGGAGACTCACGCCCATTCAAGCCTATGTCCTACATCTACAGTCGATCTTCCCACCCTCTGAGCCTGCCGCACCCACGTCGGACGGGTCGTGGCGGAATCATGCACTCGCGCTGGAGAAGGAGCTCGCGCGTGTGAAGGCCGAGTTGGACGTCGAGAGAATCAGTGTGTGGCTTGACGAACGTGTTGGAGCAACGGCACTGACTTGGTTGAAGAAACGGTTGCGCCACCGCCGCAGGCGCCACCCGTTGCCGACGCCACCCATTCCGCCGCTCCAACGAGCCAACCGAAACGCAAGCCCAAAAAGAAGGCTGGTAGCGATACCAAAATCGAGCCCCCGACACGCGTCGATCTGCAGGCTGTTCTCGAAAGCCATCCTGACATCGTCGCCCTCCCCCACTCCTCGACACTCTTCTCTGCACTCTCTGCGTTTGAGCGGGTGATCATTGCCGTGAACGCGTCCGACAACGCGCTCGACCCAACGGCGGAGCAGCGCGCACTTGTGTGCTCGATCTCTCTTCGTGCAATCTCTTCTCTAGCTGCTGTGCTCCACCCTCTGCTGCGATCACCCGTGTTACCATCTGCAGCGATACTACAGACGCTGAGCACTCTCACGCACCACCTCGTCTCGCACGCGTTTCCTGTCCTGTGCCGGCACAAGCCCAGGAAGACAGGCCGGCCCGCACCCGCCTCATCCCACACCCACGAACTCATCGATGCTCTCATCTTATCCATCTTCCATCCGGCCATCGAATCTCTCATCCCGCTCTGTCGATGCTATCTCAAATCGCTGTTCTCCAGCAAATCCACATCGGCTAAGCAACCGCTGCCTCTTCCAGCAGCGGATCCGCGCCCCGATCTGCTGCATCTGTTCCAGTCCGCGTTCTCGCCGCTGTCACCGCTCGCGCCCGGCGAGTCCCGCGATCTCCGCGCTGCGCTCGCCCTGAAGAGCGTGTGCGAGCTGGAAAAGCTGTTTCCTGACGGCCTGTCCGCGAACCCAGGGACCTGGACGTCGCACGACGCGCGGGTAGATTCGCTCGCGCGGCGGGACGCGCTGTGGTATCTGTGCGCGGTGCTGCATATTCTCTTCGCTCCCAAATCCGAGCCAGGTTCAGTGCCAGCCCCAGGAGCCGGTGCTTCTTCCTCTTCTTCTTCCTGCGCGTCTTCCTCTACCCAGTCGGCCGCGCGGGCCGCGTTCGATGGGGCTGGGGAAGACCGGATTGCTGACGGGCTGTCCCGGGTGCTTGCCCGATGTCGCGCTGGAGGGACAGCGACGTCTGCGTGTAATAGTGCCCCCGCCGCCCAACAGGGAATCAACTCGGACCGCGCGGCCGACGATGGGCTGCCAGGTGTCGCTGACCGCGAAGTCGTCGTTGACGAAGTGGGGTATGAGATGCTTCTTGGGGTCGCTGAACGATATTGGTTGTGGATTTCCTAGAATATATCTTCTGTCTTCTTTCCCTTCCTCTTCCAGCCCGCCCGCCAATGGAGTGCCAGGTGCCCGGCCTTCTAGTCCATGGGTTATTTGGACTGGTATGTAACATCCTATGCACCAGGAACACATCCTCGGGCATGCCTGTTCGTCGAAGAGATCCGCAAACACATGTTGGTCTGGTCGTTCATTCTGTCTTCCTCGTCGTCGACACATCCGAGGGCTTCCCCGCATTCCACAGAAAGCAAGGAACCGCATCGGTCCCGCTCGCAGCAGGTCTTGTGCCCCGTTGCGCGATTTTGGCGCCAGAAATTACATTCCCCCAAATGAAAGGAAGATCGCCGGTGTGTACTTCGCCAGGACTCATCGCCCTGCCAACAGCGAGGAAGCCCCCGCGTCGTTCTTCCAGCCTATTAGTTGGAGCCCCAATTTAGCGCATCCGAGGCCTCCCGCCAGGAACCTCTGCCTACCACGTACGTAAGTGCTAGTTGCCCCAATATCGCTGCTGCTGCTGGTGCTGACATACTTCGTTCTCTCCTCTGCTGGCATCAGACAGCGGCGTGTGCCTTCAATGTCTCCGCGGAGATCAATGGCAGCGGCGCCCAACGCGCTACCACTACTCCCACGTCCCAAAAAGGAACCTGGGTGGTGGGTGTGTGGCCCTCGCACCATCAGCGGCAAGTCGCGCAGCTGTCACGCCGCAGCTTCTGATGTCCGGGCGTGCGAAGCGCACATCCACGAATGGGCCGCGACAAATAAACATAGCAGCCCAAGGCGCCCGCTGTCCACGCCATCGGAGGAAGGAAGGACGGAAGTGCACCTCCCCTTCCCATCTCGCGCGGGTTGTCGCTGTCACGAATCATGATGAACAGCGGGGCGCAATCACCGTCGGAGGCATTCCACGCATCCTTGGCACACACGGCGTGTCTCCGGATCTCGCGCGAAGGCCCCGGGAGCATGCGGCGGCGCTGCCTCGAGGCGCGCGCATCGACCCCATGTCCCTCCCATCCCCGGTCTGCCAGTGGCCCCTCCCCCTCCTCGGCGTATTCCGGCAACGTGTGCTTGCTTTCTGGTTCTCATCAGTAGATATCACAGATGGATTCATGAACGGCCGCTTGTGCAGATCGGGCGCAGTGGGCTCTCCCACCGGGATACTCAGACTAGAACCGTGTTCTAAGCTCACCCAGCGCCGCCTCATGTCCTTGATCGCCGTCGAGGCAGAGGAGATAACAGGGCTGCAACAAGAGATGGCTTCCCGCTGTCTACATCGGCATTTGCGCAAGGCGATGCCCGAGGACTGATTAACACAAGCCCCAAGCATCGAAGACGGGCGCGGAGACGAGGATAGCCATCGCCATCCATCTCTCAGCCCAGGTGCGAGAGATGCGGGTTGCAGCGTGGCTTGAGGGGCCCGGGAGATGGCGGCAGGAGGACCACTACCACTATTACCACTGCGACTAAGCAGCACCGGTACCCAGATGGACCTATAAGGAAGAACAGGAGATCGCAAAGCCCGAATCCCCAGGATCTGGAGATGGCTCCGGATAAGCCACGGCTCCTTGAGCAGAAGCGACCCCCGAAATATCAAGTCTCGCTGCCGAAAGATGCCCAGATGTCACCGTGCGAGTCAGTCGCTTGAAGCGTTCTCGCGAAACAGACCCGTGCTTACTCAAGACCGGGGAACGGCAAATTGCGTAGATTAGATAAGATTCTGGCTAGTACTTCTATGCATCGATGCGGTATTTGGGGCGCTGCTCGACCGCAGGATCTTTCCGATTGGGATTGATGCGTCGCGGCCGACCAAACTCGGGCTGCGCCTCCTCTGCAACGACTGTCAGTGCACGAGAAAACAAGACAAAAATCAACTCACGCAGAGTGTATTTGTAGATGCCCGAGACATAAGTATCCCACACCTCCCGGAACATATGCATTCCGCCACCCATCGCGGCGTTCATTCCCCACTCTTTCACGAACGCACGGATATCAAACCCAACACGCGCGTCCATCGGCACGACGGGAATATCCAGTTCTTGCGAGATCGTCGTAAAGTTCGCAAGCTGATAGTGGAGTGAGATCCGGGCGTTCGGGTGCGTCGGGCGGTGCGCGAAAGCGCGACGCGTCACATTCGGGACCGCAGCGGAGACAGCGGCGACCGTTTTCGCAGCCCGCTCACGCTCAGCGGCACTCAGCGTCAGACTCTGGCTGAGAGCGGCTTGCTTCTCGGTCATCAGAGCCTCTGTGTTGCGATTATACCTGAACGAGATAGTTAATCATCCTGAATGTATGCACGGGGACAGACAACATACTTGAAACCCTCCATCGGCGGATGGGGCAACAGAAGCGTCACATAACGGTGGTACGGCGTGCCCTTCTGCGGATGGGGCGGTACGTATTGCGTGTGAGTGTTCAGGAACGGAATGCGACCAGCGTGGGTAGCAGACAAGGGGATATTCGGCTTCATCCAATGCAAGAAGGTGGTGTATGTCTGATTCTCTGGGTCCGGGACGTCCAGATCCACCATTAACATCGTGTACAACCGCACATCCGTATGGAAGACGTTGGCGTACATCTTGGGCGGTTCACGCGTCTGTTTCGGAACCAGGTAGTTGCCCGGGATCACATCTTTGAAAGTGTTCATGCGCCGGGGAAGACCGGACGGGCCACGGTTGCGTCGCATGAGCTTGTCAAAGTGCTCCTGCATCAGGGGAGCAGTCAGGTGGAGGTCGACGGTGGGGTGCATGACAGGGAGAGCATCGGGGATGACGTTCATTTGGTGTACCCGCTCCATGAGAAGATCCAGATCACCCTCCGAGCGCCAACGCTGCTCCAGGAGATGTCTGTGCGATGGGATGGTCATGTCGGCTGCACCATCATTGTATCAACTGTCTGCACCACTTCAATAGAGAAAAAATCACGCACTCATGGCATTCGCAACACTCCAACGAACCTCCGGAAGGTTGACCTCGCTTTGGACATCCAAGATGTGGAGCATTTCCCGCATCTTCTCGAGCTCCTGCTCCAAAGCGATCCGTGCCTCCCCGACGACAGGCTCGACACCCTCAAGCTCTCCACACAAAATCTTGTGCAAACGCGCCACCTCCTTGCGCTGCGCTTGAGCCTTGGTCCTCAACTGATACGCATCCGCTCGGATGACCTTCAGCGCCTCGTCATACGCCGGCAAGACCCCCGCAGGCAGCGGCGGATTCCAACGCTTCGGGTGCTTCAGCGAAATGTCCGGTCGTCCATAACGCTTCCTGTTCCGCCGCGACTGCAGGTCTCCCCGCTCCTCGATCTTCGCACGTATTTCGCGGCTGAGGCGCCCCCGGCGCAGCGGCTTGAGCGGCTGCGCGTGGTGCAGGACGTGGAAGCCCAGCCGGTAGCGGGCAACGCGCGCGCGTGGGTCCGCGAACACCGCGCCTAGGCGCGCTTGGCGGGCCTCTCGGCGTGAGCGCGAGCGCAGCGTGGGCCCCCGGGGTCTCGCAGGGCGAACCCAAGGCGTGAGTTTCCGGGGACGGGATTTTTTCGTCAGGCGGCCGTGGAGGGGTTGTTTCGGGGCATGGGGCGTGCGCTCTTCGCCCGCGTCGGCAGCGGCGGGGCGCGGTTTCAGGCCGAGGGTGCGTTTCGACGAGGGAGAGGCTGCCTTGCGGGGAGGTGGGGGTGCGCCCTTGGTGGAGGCTGACGACGTGGATGTGGTGGCAGCGCTTCGGCTCAGCGCCGGTACCCCAGTCTTGTTTAGCAGGAGTTCATTCGCACAGTGAAGTGAATTCTTTTTGCGCAGGGAGCCAGCCCACACCCTTCGTCCCAAACGCAGCATCAAGAGATTCAGAAACTTGCAAAAAGTCGGCACGCGATGTTTGCAGCTGATGGTGTGGCGGTGCCAGCTTTCCATCAAATTCAGATGTCCGCTACAACTGGGTGGCAGGTGCTTCTTTGCATTCGACCATGACTGCCAGCTCGAAGGACCGCTGCATGGTTCGAATATCAGCCTCGTTTTTGACCTACCTGCCTTGTGAAACTCTGCGATTCATCTCGGTACTTGATCAAGCCCCCCGAACAGAGTGCAGCGCGCGATTGGAATCGACACGATGTCGCTATCATCGCCGCTTAGTGCGATCGACAAGCCTCGCGGCGGAGACTTGCGGAATTTGAAGCTGCTGGCAGAGGGTGGTGCGTATGGCCGGTCGTCAAGAGCGGGCTCCGCCGCCGTCGTGCCTTGGCCACTGCCGAGCTCATGTCTGATGCCACGATCCATATCCGGCAAGGACGACCCCACACAGCGCTTTGCGAGTGTGTGCACGTTGCGCAACAGGGGCGCTTACGACCGTGCTGCTCAGCCGTTGTTCCAGAAACAAGTGCGCATATATTATCACACCGGCTACTGGTGATGTCGTACGACCAGTCCCTAGCCGGACGGTACCAACCACTGGGACCAACAAAGCAGGCTAGTCCATCTTCAGGTCGTATAAAGCAATCGTGTGAAGCATCCGGCCCTCCCGCCCCGGTGCCCAGTAGCTGAGTGCTGACGTCCATGATCTTTTAATATGTTGCCCGACGCCCAGCAAATCGCATCTTTCCCTAGCCCTAGCGACGAAGCCGCGCAGGTCGAAAGCAAAAGAAGTCCCTGGATTCGCATCGAATCTGCTTCCGCTAATCACATGCAGAGTCTCTTGAGACTCGCGCTGAGAACTGGGGGAAGTTTCCTTGAGAAAGCGGAAAATCCGCAAGAACTTCGGTGATGTGGAAGTCCAGAGTGTGCCAAGGCTCGCGGGTGCTCGTGCGACGAGAAGAATGACGAACTCAACTTGAGTGACCGGCGATATTTCTTTTGCAGAACTCGGATGCTGCTCACTCGTCAAAACCTATCAAGACGTGCCCACAGTCCTTGCTTCTAGGCTCTTCGGTGTCGCCGAAGTGGATGACAATCCAGCAACATTTTATGCGTTCACTGTCCCAGTCGGAAGTTTTCAATGGTGGCGGCTTCTACTCTGGACTAAATCTGCAAATGACCTGTGGGGGCTTTCATTTTCCACGTCGGGGATAGATGTCCTGCTGACAGTTTTACCGACGATCCTGTTTCTCATCTGAGGTCATCTTGTCCCATGCCTAAACAGCTTACATGGTGAAGCGCCAACGTATTAGCTCAGGACCGCGTGGTGGACAGAGAACGTTCTGCCCTTGACCCTTTGGGACACAGATTGTGAATCTACTCTTTCGCTCATGATACCATCCCTTAGAGTAAGCAAGCTCGTCAAACCGGGTTCCAACAACCTCTCCCGCGCCGATACATGCATGCTTGTGTACACCTGAAACGCCATTCGTCGAGAGGTGTCTGCATAATCGACACAGATCGCCCGACGATCCGCAAGCGCATCACGCGTTTGTTTGTGGACACGATGATCCTTCAGCCAGCCTTCAAGTCAGGAACACCCCCCGAACGGTCGGCCATGCCATACATTGGATCCTCAGTAATTGCATCGGTCACGCGAAAACCAATCCGGCTCCTCCATCCCCGGGAAACAACCATAAACCCATCCACCGCATGCACGGTGCCTCAAACGCGGACACACGGACACACGGCGCACCCTGCATCCATTACATAGCCTGAACAGTCGCGCGATGGAATCAATTAGAGCCGAGTCCATTTCAAACGGCAGCGCGTGGCGGGGGGATAATCCGTTCATGTCAGATGTCAGCAGCAGCGCATCACGCACCCCCACGTGGAGTCGCTGGCTGCACGCGAGCCGGGCTCGGCGGCGTTCGGCCAGCCGGGGGGTCGATCTGCGCCCGGCTCGGGAGTTCGTTTAGTCTGCGCCGGAGTAAGCATGGCCGCGACGAAAACACAGCTGCGCCGAATGCGACCGATCTCGGTAATAGGGGCCGGGTGAATGAAAGACAGGTCTTGACGAAATGCAGTGCGCGCAGGCCCGCGAAGAGAACTCATGCACGAACAGTTCCAAAGCCAACACACAGATACCCATTGTTCAAAGAATTATAGTCTAGATAGTAATGGCAGTATATACAGCGGGAGGAAGAAGGTAGCGCGATAGGGCACGACTATGAGGGGACCATATGGCATAGGTAATATATGAGCGTGCTAGTGGTACAGTGAATGCAACAAGACGGGTCAGTACAGCAAGAGGCATAAGTCAGAACGAGGGACGACACAACGACAGAGACCAATATACAGCAATAAGGATAGGGCCAAGGGGAAACAACACGACGCTGCTCAGAAGGTGGCAAGCGCCAGACGCGGGCGCTCAAACGACTCTGGCGCGTCCTCGTCCACATCGTCTTGGCCCCAGACACGATAGCGGACCTCGGCCTCGCCGAGCTTCACATGGACGACCACGCTACGCTTGCGCTGCCGCTCCTCCTCCTCGGCGCGCTCGCACTCCGTCTCCCAGGGAGCCCGGCTGCCCAGCACAAGCGGCCTACGCATGGGGTCAGACACAAACGGCTCCGGCGCCCAACGTCCTCCGCCTGAGGCCTTGCAGATGGCCGATGGGAGGGAGAGCGGATATGCGGAAAGGCCGGTACAGGGAAGAGAGTCTGTCCGCAAGGGAGAAAGCGACCGCTCCGGAACGGGCAGGGACGCAAAGCGCGTCCGACGTCTCGGGGAGGCTGCCCGCGACAGGGAGCGCCTGTGCACGGAGGGCAGTGCTGCCGGGATCTGAGGCGGCGAGGACGGAGCAGATTGGGTCACGAATGCAGGGACTTTGAAGAGGGAAATCGGCGAGGCTAGCAGGGAGCTGGATCTCCGCGGGCGCTCGCACAACATCCGCTCGTACTCCTCATCGGGTGTGCGCCTGCCGTGCACCTGGTCGTAGCAGTCAATGCAGACCCGGCACTGCACGACGGGGCTCTCGGGGGACGCGAGGTCCGAGACGGCAGTGTCTTCGGGAATGGTGGGTGCCGGTAGCGAAGCGGTGTCAAGTAGGGGCGTGGTCTGGGACGTGCATGCGCTGCAGAACACGCCTCCGCACTTGCGACAGTGGTGTCGGCGTTCGAAGAGGGTGAAAGGAACGCGACATGGCAGTGAGTCGCAGTGCGTGGACTCGGAATCAACCTGGCAGGGGATGAGTCTCAGTGATCCGGGGAGAGTAGAGACACGGTGGCAGACACACCTTCCACAGCCGCTTGGGCAACAGAATGGCTAGATGCTCTCCACGGCGTATGCTAGCCGCCGACCCCAACTCGAACGACGCAGCGGATGATGATAGGCTCGCTCGAGTGCAGATCGAATCGCGTGAACTGTCCGAGGAGAGGCTGCTGGAGGAGGGCGAAGTGGATAGCATGGACGTGGTGGAGGACGAGAGCGCGTTGCGCTTAATCACGGGACTGGAGGGACGCGTAGCGGAGGACGAGGAGGACACGTCGGACAGGGACGATGAGGAGGAGGAGAGAGAGATCATGCTTGTCCAGGCGGTGAGGCGGATGGGGAGATCAAGTAGTCGGGAAGTCTCGTCTCGCGCGCGGAAATAAATATATCGTCCTCCATCCGTACGGTATTTGGTTCCTGTTTGCCGTATCTCAGATACAGCATGCCGGATTGGGGAGAGGAAGATTCAGATCGGTTGCGACCGTTTAGGTAACTGGACATGTCACGTTAGTCAGCAGGGTCACAGATGTGTGCCCCAAGGGGGAAAGGAGTCGGAGGGACGAAGGGGGCGCACTCGGAGATACCTTACCGAGCTACATACGGTCCAATATTCCAAACATATCCCGCAGCGTGTACCTCTCCACCGGACGATGTGCAATTCATCTCTCACCCGCGCATGGTCCGACTGGCAACGGGTGAAGCGCTGCCCCCAGGCACCATGTCACCTACTTATCCTTCTTGGCTCTCTCTCTTATTACCTACATGTCGTTGCTTTCTTCTCCTGCACGCAGAAGAATTTTTCTAACGTCCGAACGCAAGGCTTCAGGCTATTCGATGACACCTCTCCGCCCTCCCGCGGCCAACTCCGAGACCCTGAGCGCGGCCCATTGACCGAGGTGCAGCTCCGCGCCAGGCTCCTCCCTCGTTCAATTATGGCGGTGGTGCTGCTGCTCCAATCCGCGTCGTGGAGCGCTCGGGTATGTCAAGCCTCGGTGCTTTTTGCTTCCCAGCGTCTGTGCAGGTGGATGGTCTCTACGTCGCTTATGCACCCGCCGTGTGAAGCAAACACATGTCGGCACTTTGCTCCGTTGTGGGTGACTGAGTCGTTTCTGCCCGCATCGCCCTGTCCAGCACCGGTTTGTACGGACAAACTCGTCCGGGATCGCTCTCTCTGCGCTCAATTCCAGATCGCTTGGATTCACGCTGCATCGCACAGCCGCGGAAAGCAACAAATGAGACTACCACGCGTGACAGCGCGTAAGACATGCACAGGCATATTTCTTGGGTCGGGCTAAACCCTCGTCCCGGCGCGGCGTGATGGGATCACGTCGGGCCCTCGCCCACCCCGCTTCGCTTCGCAATTCACGCGCAGTTGGTTACCTTGGAACGCCGTTCGCTGAGCTTCAGCCGGTGCACGCCGACGAGCCTCATGCATCTGAAGCTCAAGATTCGTGGCGCACGCACATATGTTCTCCCCTCCGTCCGATTGGGCTTCCTCAGCAGGCATGCCGCGAACTTTGTGCTGGATGCGCACTCCACGTTGCCTAGATGATGCACCTGCATAGAGTACGCATCTCTCGCATCACTCGCTCATCGACAAATTAGTCCCCCGTAGCGCATCGTGTGCTAGTGCCGTGTTCGACCATCCTACGCCGGCGCTTGTGGCGGCGAGTTGCATGAACAGCCCGCCAGTTTGGCACATTCCCAAACGCGTAATTCGAAGATGCGGCCTCGCCCCCAGAATCCGGGAACATCAGCTCGATGGTGACGTGTGCCATGGTTCGCGCAGAACGTCGATGATGGATTGGGATTCGGATGGATAATCTCCCATCGATGAGAAATCAGGGTCCTCCAGGTCAAGTCAATCGATGACGATCCATGGTCCGCCCTCTGGATTATCCAGGGATCATCTGCAGCGCGTGTTTGATCCCGGCGGCGGATTGCTTCCGGTCTCCGAGAGTCGCTCGCATGACCAAGTGCATGCACACCTTCTCTCTGTGGGTCCCGTATGTACCTTCCCCCCCTCGCGGGTGTCCCTCAAATGCTATTGGGCAGCCCAAGCATCTGTGGCTGCCTGCACCTGTGTCTGTCCGAGGCACGAAAATGAAATCACACCATGCGCATGGGTGCTCTGCTGTACGGTGTCCTATCGCCCACCAGCTGAGTAGCCTATTCCCATCGCTCAAGCTTCAAGATGAGGCGTCCGACACGAATAGCACGCCTGAAAAGAACCCCGTCGGTGACTTGCGCGAGAGGTAAAGCAAAGAAGAGCCTCACCACCCCGAGTTTCTCGGCCGCTGCGTCGTTCCTCGGACCTGGGGCCCTGCGCAGAAGGAACACCTCACCTCGGGGCAGCGCGGTTCTCTCTCCCTCCATCGATCTATCTGTCTATCGCTCCGTGGCTCGCGCAACTTTGTTCCGTGCGCTGAGAGACAGTGGGTGGCATGGGCGCGTCCAATGGTATGGTGATTCCAACATGGCTGTTTCCATATATGGGCCCCTGTGGGCCACGCTCGGTGGGATGACGCAAGCTCTGGCATCACTCCACCGCTCGGCCACTGCCGGATGTTCACAGCGAAGAAGCCATGTTCAATTGAATCACCCCCGCGATTGGCGGAGACTCTCCAAATAAAAAAAGAAACAGGAGGGCTCCCCCCGGTCGAGCCCGGTCTAGCTTGCTTCCAGTCGCTCCTGTCGCGTCCTCGAAATTTCTACCGCTCTCTATCTCTCTGCCGAAGTCAGGCTTCGTTCTGCCGAGTCGTATAGCACCGAGCGTGCAACCGGATCAGCGCATCAGCCGTACTGCCGTAGGCACTGCCGCTGCCACAGCTCTCCCACAATGCAACATCGCTTCTGATTTACGCACGCCCGCCAGGTCGTCGCCCGACAGGCAGCCCCCGAGAAGATGCCGAGGTGGGGTGGGACGGGTGTCCCGCCTGGCCGACAAGCATCCGTCCATCTCATCGCATCTCCACGTCTCTCAGCCGACCGACCCATCTCTGCACCCGGCCGCGTACCTTACCTGGCGCTTACGGCAGCCATGCACCTCCGGAACACCTGGGGACATGGATGCGGAGCGCGCTTGTGATAAGTACTACTGTACCAGCTGTGTCGAGTCGTCGCGTACGCGACGGTGGCCGTGGGCGACAGCACGAGAGACCCGCGCGGACCGTGTGCGTGCTTCTCGCCGCGCATACATGCACACATATGCCCCCGGCCCGGGCGGCATGCCCACAGGGAACGCGAGGCGCGCGCGCGACGTCGCTTGCGGGTGCGTGGGAAGCTCCCCTCCTCCGCTCGATCTCCTGAATGGGCCGTAAACTGCAAATGGATACTACAACGCAGTGACTGACTGCGTTCTGGTGCCCCTTGCAACGAATATCTCATCTGCCGTAACGGTCGCTTTCAATCATCCTGCCCCGTCCGTGCTTTGCGAGCGGAGCACGCGTCGCCTGATCCCTATCTCGCATGTCTCCCGGCTAACACTCTCGTCCATGCATATCATATCTCGTAACGCCGGCTTGATCACGCCGCGGATGCGCACCGCAGAGGCTGCGCGAAGGAATCCATTCGCGCCAAGGGCGTGTGCGAAGCTGCATCTCTGCCCAGCAGGCTTCGAAATACGATTATTCTGAAGATCTCAGAGAGGCGCCTTCCGCAACCGAATCCGCGCGCCCCTCGTGGGGGGGGGTTCCAAGGTGCTAAGGAGACCCTCCGTTTCTCCGTGGATCTAGGCCACCACCACCCACCGACGGGTTTGTGGCTGCGGCGCACATGCAGGAGAGACATATCCGGGGATCCCCCGCGGACCTCCCGCTGCACGAACATGCAACCCTCCCGTCCCGACATGGACTAGCGCGCCTGGGTGAATGATGTGTGAGCAGGCGCAGGGATCTCCGAGGGCAGGCCAAAAGCGTGCCGATGTTAGACGAGCGCCGCTGTCAGTGCCAACGCCAACGCCAACGAAGGATCTGGGGGAGGGCTTGCATGCCGGTAAGTACCTGTCGGCCGGCGGGCGATGTTCTTCTATGCAAGCAAGACCTGCATGCAACACAACCTTGCTCATGTCACAGTATGCAGCGCAGATCGGCGCGTGGGGGTGGAATTAGCATTCGCATCAGCATCCGGCCGTGCATGTCAGTCAGCGTCACAGGGATCCTCACCCTGTGCGCCGCAGATACTAAGTAAGTACCTCAGACAGCCAGGCTCCCTTTATGGGGCAGATTGCTGCCGGCGGACGTTTTTACGGCGCAGGGCAAGGTTCGGCGGAACGTGGCTGCTCACGCTCGCGCGCTGATCCGGGGCTGGTGCCCGGGCCGTGGGGGATCCGGAGTCTGCCCGACGGTGATACAGCACAGTCGCGGACATTCCAGGGCGATCTGGCTCAGAGCACGCCGCCAAAACATCCGACGGGGGTCCTGTGCACCGGCAATGGCTCCTCCCATGGAGCCGCTCGATGATATCCAGGACATAATGACCCAGTACCCAGATGCGAACTTCATGGATGTGTCGCGCAGGAATCACATGTTATTTCATTTTCTGTCAGCGCGTCTGCACCCGGGTGATGGTGTGCGAATCCGGCGCTCAAGGCTGCCCCAAGTCACGCCCCCCGGCTTCCTGGATCCTCACGCGACCGATAAGTTGCGGTCAATCAATACTGAACTAGTACGTGCTCCACTCGCGCACACTTTGATCTGCGCGGAGGATGTACTTGGGCGCGCTGATGGGATCATCTCCATGCTCATCGTGGAGACTCGCACTCCCCAAAGACTCCATGCTTCGCAGGTCATTCGACGGGACAGGAGACGTGTCGCGTGCGTCCTGGGGCTGCGATCGCCCTCGACGTACAGTCCCTGCGCTCTGGGGACCGATGCTACTCTGCGCGCCGGATATGGACAAGCACCTAGTAAGTAGCCTACTTGACTGCAGGTGCACAGACTGTATGTGCTACCCCCGCGTGATTCAGGGATGGATTCGCCAGGGCAGCAGGTCGCGTGATGGTGATGGGTCTGTGCTGTTTCTGTTTCTGAAGCGTGAAGCCACGCCGCCCTGGACGCTCGAAGCTCGAAGCCCGAAGCTCGAGCCCTGGCTGGCCCACCCACCAGACAAACCAACACGCCGCCCGCCACCGCCACCCAGACTATGTAATATGCATGGATACCGGCGTTGCGATGCTCGATAGTGGGTACTTCTTAATACCTACTTCTTGACACTTACATGCTTACGACTTGCTCGCCGCCGCGCTACGCCCGGCGATGTCGCGCGCACGTCGAGTAGAGTTGACTTGGGCCTGGCTGGGCTGGGCTCGGCGCGCGAAGCTTAGACTCTCCCATCCTCCTCCTCCTGCTGGCGCTACTGATGAGCGCCACTCGCCCCTAGTCTGGGGTTGGACATGCACACGTATTAGCAGCACGATAGGATACCCGCCGACGGCGCTGGATCAGAGCGCCGGCCTAGACCCGCGCTGATCCCCGTCGCGCGGCCGGGGAGGCGTACATGGCTTCTGGTGTCGCCGTCAGTCTGCGCACGCTTCTCGCCCCGCGACCCACTCAAATCTTATCGCGAACGCGCGTGATTGCAGTATGTACTGTTCTGGGCGCAGATACTGTGGGTCCCGGGATTCGGGCGCAGGGACAGGATGTCATGGAATGGGATGGGTAGGTGGGGCATGTGGAGGCGCGCGGGAGCGAAGGCGAACCTGGGAAGCCCCCCGCGCAACGCACACGACACACGGAACAAATCACATCACATCCCTACTGAATGAATGCGGGGGATCGCAGGCACCGATGCTAGAAGCGCCACGGCCCATCGCGGGGACCAAGGACACGGACACGGACAGTCGACGTCGAAGAACATACGCCGCCTACAGCACGAGCTTTGCTCACGTGGAGCACGAAGCACCCGCAAACGCTAAGCTCGTTGCGCCCCGTCTTGTCCACTGAGCACGGGGGCTTGTGGTATCAGAACTGCGGGAGGAACGAGAGTCCCTGTCGTGCTAGCACCCAGCCGCTGAGTTGGGGGTGCCTTCTGAGGGCGCCTTCTAGCCCCGAGAACCATCCGGGTGGAAATGGCATGGGAGGGGCTTGCAGAGAAATGTCAACTTGAGCCCGGCAGCGTGGTGGGAGAGGAATTTCTCTGTGGTTTCCGCAGGGACAGCGTTCATCTTCATTTGTGCGCCGCACCCTCGAACGGGACTCGAACTCCAACCATCAGGCTGGTCACGGGAACAAGTCAACACTCATCACTCATCAAACCGCGCCGCTGATGGCTAACCAAGCGTTCGTTTCCCCCGCACTCCGAGTACGAAACTCATGCCCAAGCACCTGCCCCAGCGAGACCCGTTTACGGTAGATGGAGCTTATATGTGTATGCACATAGAGCCAAAAGCAACGCTGGAGCCCAAAAACACTACCGGTCATCTGCACTGCTCAAGTGCCGTGTTGGACCCCGACAGGCTGATCTAATCCCTAAACACAGTCTATACTCTCAAGTAAGCATGTTCTTACTTGCAGGACTGGCTGAGTGGCCTTCTCATGCAGGAAGTTGCCGCCCCACGCCCCTGCAGCGTAAGTAACAGTAGTATGTTGGACCGGGAATCAAGGACGAGCCGGGAGATGCCGCGCAGGCACTCGCACGGTCACGTTTCTATGTGTTAGAGCACGAGCATAAACACGCGGGAAGGCAGGTAAGGTATAGAATTGCAGCCCAGAAGTCAGTCTAAGGATAATGAATTAACGATACATTGGCGTTGCACAGAGACCGTCCGCGCGTCCCCAGATACCAAACCGACGTCAACTCGAGACAACCGCGAACTGGCGCGCCCTGCTCCTCAGGTCCTTCCGCAGCTGGACCCAGAACAACACCATCAGCCGTCCGCAAAGCTCACAATAGCAAACTAAAACACATACAATTTTGCCGCTGGGGTTCTTCGGCACAGCATCGATAAACACAACGCCGCCGGTGAGGTGCTTGTACGCGATCTTCTCGCGCGCGACGTGCTGCTGCAGCGCAGCCTTGAGCGCCTCGCCGTACCGCGGGTCCGCGCACGTGCGCGTCGTGTGCTCCGCGCGCAGCACGACGAACGCGAGCGGGATCTCGCCGCAGTAGTCGTCCGGGATCCCGACCACGCACGCGTCGACCACGGCGGAGTGAAGCCTACGATGTATCAGATTGGCTCTCCGATTCTGGATCGGGTGGGTCAGACGCACAGGAGATGTCCTTCTAGCTCGGCAGGGGCCACTTGGAATCCTTTCACTTTGAGGATTTCCTGTCGCAGGTCAGGGTGGAATTCGTAAAAAAAAATCAGTAATCATCAACCTTCAACCGATCAACGATGAAAATCTCGGAGTCGCGAATGACGACCTCGTCTCCCGTTCGGACCTGCGCAAGCACTCAGCACAACCCTCAAACGACGGACACACCACTCACCCAGCCGTCAACAAATGTTTCCCTCGTCGCCTTCTCGTCGTTCAGATATCCCAGCGCCATCGACGGCCCCGTGACCACCAGCTCGCCCTCCTCGCCCTCCCCGCAGAGCGCCCCATCCGGGCGCACCACGCGGGCCGCGACACCGGGGATGATCTGCCCCGCGCTCCCGACAGCGCCCATCTTCTGCGCGCCGCCCAGGAAGGTGATCGTCGCGCATGTCTCCGTCATGCCTGGTTGCAACTCGTGAATAGGATGTTATGCGCCGCGGGAAATCCGGGTGGACGAACCGTAGCCCTGCCCGATCGTGGCGTTCGGGAGAATCGCCTGCAGCGTGACCATCAGGTCGCCGGTCAGAGGCGCTGCGCCTGAGCAGCAGAGTTTGACATGGCTCAGATCGTAGTCCTTCGTCGCTGGATGCTGTGCATTTACTTTCTAGCGCCTGACCATGATAGAATTTATCGACCGCGAACCTTGCACAACAAGACGATTTGAGGAGGAACCACGCTGTCCAAAAAAAATGAGATGACACGCAAATCGTCAGAGAACGACTCACAACAACACGCTGATCTTGTATTTGACTACACTTTGCAAGAATTCGGTAAAGTTGAATTTGGGGATGACAACAAGAGAGGTCTGTTGGAAAATGAACAGGCAAAAATTTGGCTGGAACGATAGACTGACGCCAGCAAACAACATATAATGCATGACCACGACCAATCCATAAATGTCTGCCACATGTTTCAGTCGGGAGATCCCAACCCGAGAAAGAGCACGCACGAAAAAAGGGAAGCGCTCCGAGTGCGACATCGCCCGGATTCATGTGCTTGTGCTGCATGCCTTCATCATCAATGCGGAAGTGCGCGACCATCTGCATGACATTCGCCACCACCGCGTAGTGAGGGATCACAACCGCTTTCGGTTTGCCTGGTGTGGATCGCATCAACAGTCGGCTTCAAACACAGAACACGCACCTGTCGTCCCACTCGAGAAACAATAGAACGCGACCTTCGTCCGTGCCTTGCCCGCATCCAGCTTGCGCTCCACGTAGGCCTGCGGCTGGCTGCCCCCGGCCCGGATAAGCCCGGACACCGTCTCGTGGCTCCCGTCGTACGAGGCGGCGGTCGGTTCGATCACGACGATTCTGTCTTGAGAAATCCCGGCTTTGTCTGCGGCGGCCAGGGCTGTCGGCAGGAAGGCGGAGAACGCGAGCAGGAGCGTGGCCTTGGTGGTCTCGAGCTGGAACGCCAGCTCCGGCGCCGTGTAGCCTGGATTGGCTGGTCTGGGATCGAGACAGTTGAGAAAACAGACGAGGGCAGCATGAAAAATGCGACATACGTGACGATGGCACCAAGTCGGTGGGATGCCCAGACGCAGACCGGATAATCTGCTCCCATCAGCTGCGCGGAAACAGTTGTTGGACAAAGGCCAGCTCACCGACATGGTTCGGGCTGAATATACACACGACATCCCCTTCGCTGACGCACCACTTCGAGCTCATCGCATTCGCGAGATCGGAGGTTCGTTGCTTCAGCTGGATAAACAACCCTGGAATCAGCATGCACAGACCGGGAGACGCAGCACACGGACCTCCTCGAGATATATCTCCCTGCCCGAGTGGTCCTCAATCAGCCACGGCGCGCTTGCGGGTCTGGCCGGCCGGCTGGGGTGCGCGGCGTCGAGGAAGAACTGCGGGATCGAGACGTCGTCGGGCGCGTGAGGGACGGGGAGTGAGTCGGGAGGTGCGTGGAAAGTCATGGTGCGAGAAGAGATGGAGGTGGGGGAGAGAGGGCGATGTTTCGCATATCCGCCTTGTAAAGGAGCACAGTGTCAGGGTGTCCCCGACCATAGGGGTAAAACTTATAGTAATGTATCCCGAACGATTACTCAATCAACGAGGATCAAGGGGCTGTAAAATTAGATGGATGCGCGGGGACGATGGATCATCGCTTAGGTTGCCATTGAGCCTCAGGATATCTGGAGTGCAAGTTAAGACGCCGGCTGAGGAACTATTCCATGAAATGAAAGTTCGGAGCTGAGCTGAGGTATTAGAGCTGTAGATCCACAGTGAGCAGATGGAAGAATTGAGATTTTCCCATCGACTAAAATTCGTCGTCTGAGCCATAGCGAACGATGGCAAAAGTGGGGTTTGTGTGAGACTGACGGTTGAAGGCTGGAACGCCCGATATTTCACGTGACTTGAAGGATCAATGTGCCTGCAGTCAACACTGAACTGTCGAGTATGAAAGTTCTTTTGGGGCAATTGAAAGGCCATCTCGCATGGCATTTGTTCCCGAGTTCGTTTTTATACGAGCACTACCTTGTAATACTTCTTTGTGCGTCGACCTGGTGGTCGCAGCGTTAGAAAACACGGCCCCGGTTCAGACTGGCAAGCGACGACTTTGCTCTCTCACTCGAGGGCTCCCCGAGAAAGAGGCCTCGTGTGAGAGTAAATAATACTGGATTTCCGGTGCGTTTTTTGAGCGGTAAAATCAGCGTAGTCTGAACATGAACTTGTAGGGATGACTTGGTGATTGGGTAACTGATATGATCGATTGAGATATTTGACGGACAATTTCGAAAAGGGCTGCCCTCGAGCTCAGACACTCATCCTCAGCACCTGGCATTGAAAAAAAATTACCAGAGGTAGTGTGTCCAGGAACATTTTGCTCAATTTTTGAAAATTGCAGAGCAAGACTAATAAGTACTCCTGAGGAATCGATTGGCCCGGGAAGCAATTCTTATGGCTGAAAAAAGATGTATTTTTGTTCTTTAGCATCCACAAGTCTGCGGGACATGAGAGCAAGAAGCAAAAAAGAGTACCCGAACGGGAGCAACCACATGAAACAACTTGTCTGGGGGCCTCGTGACCTCTTACCATCACCATCTCCTCTAGGAAATGGCATGCGGTGAGAGAAACGAAGACCCCCCGCTGCAGTGAGCAGCAGGGACTCAGAGTGAGAACCAGCCGAGACCAAAGGCACCTCAAAAAGAGGAATAGCTACTAAAGCCCTGATACTCGAAAATAAGAGACACCCCACGACGCATAAAAACGTGAGCCAGCAAACGCAGGCTGAAAGCCGTGGGAAACAGATAACCAAAACTCAAACACTACTGGATACGCGCACCACCTCGAAAACTAAACAGACAATGGCCATAGTCCACACAAGGGAACGACCCCGAGACCAGCACCCAATGAATACGTGGCACCGACTAGGTATAAAATTGATAGCCGAAAGACCATGAAAAAAAAAAAAACGGTACTTCATCCCTCTACCCACCCAAAGAACGAAAAACTGGCGACCAACGAACCAGCAGGTAAAACGTTGTCAAAAACCCCCAAGATAGACGACTCGGTCTTCCTGGCACCACGCAACCGCGTAGACGAAACCCCGACAACCCCCCACCGACGCAAGGGCCTGGAAGCGCTCGAGAGCCGAGCACGCCAACGAAGCGCGTCCCCGACCCCCCTCCCAGCTCGTTTCGGACCCGCCCAACCAAACCAAGAACGAGACAGCGCCATGCCGGACCCATCCACCACGCACACACAATACATCAGACCATCTGCGACACTCTTCGGATCTATGCCCAGAACCAACAGAGATGTCACCTCAGTTACCACCGCCATCACCTGGTTGCACCCCCGCGGGGGTCCTCCTGGGTACCCTCAGACGTAGCTCTGAGGGTACCTAACAGGTACCCCCCTGCGGGGCCCGCGGGGGGGATTTGGTCCATTTGGGGGCGGGGGCATATGCGGGGGTCAGCAGGGGGGGGTCTGTACATGTCATGTGATTTATCATTGGGAGCGGGCAGGTGGGCGCGAAAAAAAAAATGAATCACATGACACATCCAATGGGCGGGATGGCGGCTGATGGCGGGGTAAAAAAATCACGTGATGCACCGCATGAAAATTATCAAAAATGGCTAGCAGGGGTTGGCGGGGGTTGGCGGGGGCGCTACTGGCCCCCCGCACACCATGGCGGGCAGTGGGCGCATTATCACGTGACTTTTGGGGCACCTTTTGTGCACCATTCGGCATGATTTCGGAGGTGTTGCTTGATCCATTGCATGCTGTGGCAGACAATGGGCGCATAATCACGTGATTTTCCGCCCAAAAAAATGGAAGCCTTCCCCAAATCATCCTGGTATCATTTCTATCGGTAAATACACTAGTTAAGCATGAATTTGAGCTTAGAAAGCCCAAAATGCACCCTGCACAATGGGACTGGTGATGCACTTGATCCCATCATTTGGCGGGGTCTGCTGCGGGGGGTGCCACGGGGGGTGCTGCGGGGGGTGCCGCAGGGGGTGCCGCAGGGGGTGCCGCAGGGCCCGCTGTGGGGTCAACCACAGGAGCAGGGGTAGGGGTGCATTGCATCATATTTTGATCTATCTATTCTCGCTGTGGTCATAGCATGCAGCATAATTATCCTTCATTTTGCCAGGAGTTTGGAGGCTGTGTCTGGGGTTGGTCTGCAGCTACAGCCATGTGACTCCCTGATGCTTCGGCAGGGGCTGGGATATCAAAACTGTGCAAATTTACCTAAATCTTTTGGCTTGGCTTGGGGCACTGATATATATGACTTGGTTCATTTTAGCATGGTCTGCTCAAGCTGTCAGGTCAAACTAAAAATTTGAAAAATGTGCAACTTGATTTGTTAGGCAAATCTCCCAAGTACATGCTCCAGGGACAGCCAACATCATCAACAAGAAATGGCTAATGTTTCTTTTCTCTGTCTGTTTGCTTCAGGTAGTCTGTCTGCACTCAAATTTTTCTCTCCATTTGCAGCATATTCCGTGGAGGTGTCATAATTGTTGATTTCCGGATTTCATACTTCTTGTCTACACACCATTTGGGCCCTTTACTGAATCCAATAATACTGTAGACTCTTACAATGGATTGAGCAGGACATTTGTCAATTAAATCCTTGCAGGGGTTGGGGGGGGGGTCAACCACAGGGGGTGCCGCGGGGGGTGCCACGGGGGGTGCCGTGGGGGTGCACAAGCATCTGCCAGCCTACCAAATGTGGATCAACTACAAAATCACTTTCCAAAGCTTCTGTACTGCAACCCAAGTGACTTCTAGGTAACCTTTACCCAATCCCAGTGAAACAACTTCACTGCTCTTGTTTCTGGGTGACAATTGATTTTATGAGCTTGAGTGTGTATGCACCCTTTTTAGTAGGAAATGAGGCCATGTGATGAGAGGTAGGGCACCGAAACATTGTAAAATACTATATTCAACATGACCGGTGGCCCATGTCTCTTCAAACCAGCCCATATCTCATGTTTATCAAGACCCTATTTTTCGGACTCATTTCAAGTTTTTGAATAGTTCCAGGGTCCAGGGCTCTCAGAATTTGTTTCAGACACTGCCAAAGAGTATATCATTCAGCTGTATTGAATTGCTTGTGTGTAGAAAAAATATTTTTTGCCATACCCAAAGTGAACCATGTTGAACCATTGTCTACATAGGAACCTTGAGCAATGGTGAACTCTTTTCATGTTTCGAATTTTAGGTGGACAAATGATATGAAGTATCTACATATTCAATAAGAATAGCAGAAGGAGACCTTATTCCGATGGTTTTCAGCTGCATAACTGTAGGAACAGTGTTAGAAGAGCAGTAAACACTTAGGTACGACGTTTATACAGGTTCTGATTGGCTAGTGACTTGACGTGTTCCGAGCTGTCAGTTTACATAATCTTACATATAAGAAAATCATGGGGACAAGGCACCGGTGCAGCGGGGGGTGCTAGACTGGCGGGGGTGCCAGCGGGGGTGCCGGCGGGGGTGCCAACAGGGGTGCCGGCGGGGGTGCCAATGGGGGTACCAGCAGGGGTGCAGGCAGTGGGTCATGGCAAGGATGTGTGCAGCCCCAGAGGTAGTAAAAGTAACCATCTATGTCTCTACAGTCTATCTTGCAAATATACGAGCTCTGAGTGCACAGAGTGTTGTATATGAAATTTGAAATTCAAATATTACCAATCTCTGACTATTGTGAGGCAACTTGCTGGTGAATCCATTGTCTCATATTCCACCTAGGAATCAATTCAGGGCATGTCAAATCCACTCTATTACATCTGTTCATGTTGCAACTAAAGCAAACTGCTTGTAAAGTAACACAGAACAGATGAACTTCAATGAGTCCCAGACAGGAAGTGTGACATTAGGTGCATAATTAACGTGTGGTATTATCCACTGGGTAAGATTAGACTGTGCCTACAGCATGATCAGCTTACCAATGGGCATGTGTATAGAATGAGCAGACGAAACAATCAATGAGTTGACAGTGGACCCGATGCAGCCCATGATGTCAGCCCACCTACCCTGCCAGCCAAAAAATGAACAAATCACACTTTCTTTTTAACCCTACATGCCTGGATTATGCAGACAATATTGCACAGTTTTGATATCCCAGCCCCTGCCGAAGCATCAGGGAGTCACATGGCTGTAGCTGCAGACCAACCCCAGACACAGCCTCCAAACTCCTGGCAAAATGAAGGATAATTATGCTGCATGCTATGACCACAGCGAGAATAGATAGATCAAAATATGATGCAATGCACCCCTACCCCTGCTCCTGTGGTTGACCCCACAGCGGGCCCTGCGGCACCCCCTGCGGCACCCCCTGCGGCACTGACGAGCGTGGATACACCCTGGCCCCGCAATCAATTGATCACATGATCACATGTCACATGGTATGACGTAGCAAGCTGCTTGGTCTGACAAAGCAGCCACAATTGATCTGGCACGTGATGACAAGTGTCGGGCCGA